ACATCACAGTCAGCAGCCGAAGGCCGATCTCGTCCTCGTCCTCGTCCTCGTCCTCGTCCTATCCTCGTCCTCGTCCTCGTCTTCGTCCTCGTCCTCCTCGTCCTCCTCGTCCTCCTTCTTTCATTCTCCCCTTTGGGATCACATCTTACCTCATCAAGTTTTTCGGATTCGGAGCAGACAGTGTACAAGTTTGAAAGCTGTCAAACCTCGTTAATGCTCCTCCTCTACCAGCTCTCTACCTCCAACCATTCTTTTCCCATGCCCAGCCCTCCCTTCCTCCCCCCCACCTATTCTCCTCCTCAATCTCCACTCTGTTCCAGCTGCTACCCCTGCTCCCTCCCTCTTCCTCCCTCCCTCCCTCCCTCCCTTCATGAACTCTTCCTCTCCTTCACTTCAGTCTCACCGTCACAGGCGTTGACTGCTGTTTGTTCGCCTTCCCATGTACAGTAACAGTAATTTGCCTGCGTCAACAATCAGCCTCCTGCTATCTCCCATCGTCCCTTTCCTCTCCTCCTCCTCCTCCTCCTCCTCCTCTATCTCTACCACTTCTTCTCGCAACTTCTCTCCCCTTTCCTCCTTCCTCTCTGACTCCCCCTCCCCTTCCTCCTCCCTCTGCCTCTCCCTCTCCCTCCTCCTCCTCCTCCCTCGCTCACTGTCTCGGATAGACACATGCTGCATGCCTTTGCGCTCCCTTTGCCTTTTCCCCTGCCTCTCTCCTCCTCTCGAATCGTCCTCGATGTTCATCTCACCGAGGGTTTCGTAAACCTGCTCGAGCCAACGCTGCCACCTCGTTGTTCATGGTGGCAGAGAAGAGACCGGTGCGACTGAACAAGCATGTCAGAGAGTGATGGAGAGGAGAGGAGAAGAGAGGGGAGGAAGGTGGGGAGAGGGAAAGTGACGGTGGCACGGGGAGGGGAAGGGAGGGAGGGAGGGAGGGAGGGAGGGAGGGAGGGAGGGAGGGAGGGAGGGAGGGAGGGAGGGAGGAGTCATCAAGTTCGTCAGATCACTAACCGAAGTTTTGGCAATTTCTCGAGAATAGAGTTAAGAGCAGCTTGAAACCCCATGTCCAACAGCCTGTCTGCCTGAAAGCCAAAGAACGACATCACTTTTTAGAACATCATCATCATCATCTACATCCAAACAATTACATACAGTGTCATCATCATCATCATCATCATCATCATCATCATCATCATCATCATCATCATCATCATCATCATCATCATCATCATCATCATCATCATCACTGCTATCATCATCATCATCATCACTGCTATCATCATCATCATCATCACTGCTATCATCATCATCATCATCATCATCATCATCATCATCATCATCATCATCATCATCATCATCATCATCATCATCATCATCATCATCATCATCATCATCATCATCATCATCATCATCATCATCATCATCAGCAGCAGCAGCAGCAGCAGCAGCTCCAACAGACCTCGTCCAATATCAACAGCTCAAGTTTCTTCACGTTGAATTGCGTCACTTTCCTGCCGTTACAATTCAGCACCAGCTCCTCCAGCTCCTCCTGCTCCTCCTGCTCCCTCTCCCCTCCCCCTAGCTGTCCTCCCTCTCCTCCCTCACGTCAGCGTGTGTTGCAGCCTCCCAGGGGTTCCGATCACGATGTTTCCTCCTTCCTCCAAGAACACCCGCAGCGTCTCATCGTTGTCGCTCCCTCCTGTCAGGATCGCGACGCTGATCTCCGGCACGCACGCCGACATCAACTTCGCAACGCTCAGAATCTGCATCGCAAGTTCGCGGGTCGGCGCGATGACCAGGGCCCCGACCTCGTGCATCTTTAGCTTCTCCTCCAGCCGCAGCAGGAGCTCGAACGCAGGGATGAGGAACGCGGCTGTCTTGCCCGACCCCGTGCACGCCTGTACAGCAACGTCCTTGTTGGTGAGGAGGAGGGGTATTGTAGCCTGCTGTACAGGGGTCATCCTGCTGAACCCAAGGGCCCGGATCGCCTCCATGGTCTTATTGCTCAGAGGCTTCGGGAGATCCACGTCCTCGAACTTTTCTCCCGTCGCCACACCCTCCGACACTTGGGCCGGTGGCGGGTCTGGCTTCTTTGCCACCGGTTCTTCGATGGGGTGCTGCTTCCGTCCAGCAGGAGACTGCTCGGAGCCGTTGGAGCCGTTGGTGGCCTTCTTCTCCATCTTGGACTTCTTCTTCTTACTTCCGTTCATGCCGTCCTCCTCCTTTTCTCCTGCACCCTTGTCCTTGCTCGATCCTTCTTTGTACTCGATTCGAGGTCGCTTACCACCAACACTGGTGTCCTCCGACAGACTTTTGGCCTGTTTGTTCACGATCTCCTGCTTCTTCTCCTTCTCCTTCTTCTCCTTCTCCTTCTCCTTCTTCTTCTCCTGCTTCCTGTCCTCTTCGCCTCTCCCTTCCTGCTTCGGCTTTCGCCTTATTGCCCATGGACTGTCCATGGTTTGCACGTGGGACTACCCCCCACCCCACTTATCTAGTGCTCCAACCCACCCTGCACTACTGTACCACCGGTCATTGATTTGATTTTCTTTACCCCTTAGTTTTACTTTCTAATGACATCAAAAATGACCGGTACTGAAATACCCCTACCCACTTTCGACAGAGCTTGAGAGACCTGTATGGGCTGGCCCGTTTCTTTCAGATATAAGGCGCCAATATGCGATAGAGCAAGGAGGACGGGTAGGAGCGAGCAGCCAAGGCTTGAAGGGCGATGGCAGTAAGAAGGTCATAGTCAGGGGAAGAGCACGTTATGACATCTCAGATGTCTACGAAGATGTCTTGAGACAAAGTTAGCTGCAGGTCAGTGATCACCACAGGACAGCTTACAGAACAGGAGGTTTACGATGGAAAGGACTTCAAAAGAGTTTGTCTGCAGAAACATCGAGACGATCTCTTGAGGAGTGCTTGGTTCTAATTTAGATATTTCCGCAGCCGTGTTTGATCATGTGTGTAATAGTGACGCCCGAGAATAAGCTTGTATGTGGTGATGATGTATTGGCAGGTGTTGGTGGATGGGTTGAAAACCTTTTCAGAGCATAAGAAATGATCAGCACAACTCTTGCACAAACTGCTTTCCTCTCCCCATCGCTCTTATGCAGACCGTTGGAGAGCACAGGGTTCATGAACAAGGCTCCTATCCTCAAACTCAACGCCGTCAAGCAGCCTTCGCGCCTGCATCGGGGTGTAGGCGGCAGGCACGTCAAACAGGAGCTTCAGATGAAGGCTGGTAGCAACCACGTCTCGAGAGGACTAGCTCTTCTCAGCACCCTCGCGGTGGTTTCAACTCCTCTGCTCTCCTCCGGCGCTCCTCCTCCGCCCCCCGTCGAAGTGTCGGCCAACTTCCAGAACCCCTATCTTCTGCTGGAACCCGCGGGAGAGTCTTACCTGGGGAAGAAAGGGATCAATCTGCAGATGCCGAGCGAGCTGTCGGACAAGGACGAGGCTCCTCTGGCGTACACGATGAAGAAGGCAGCGAAGCCCAAGATAAACTACATCGAGAACCTTTCGAACCTCGACATAGCCGCTTCGTTCCTGTGGACCATGTTTCTCTACTTTGGGATCTTCGACATCAACTACAAGGACAACGTTATAAGGCAGGCTGGGGGGGTGGATGGCGACGTGAGACCTTCCGACTGGGTCAACATCAAGCTCGGAAAGTTCTTCGAGATGGAACAGGAGACGTGGAAGGACGACTGGAGGGCTCCGGTCCCACTTCAGATGTTCACTTTCTCCCTCTTCTTCCTCGCCGGGCTTGCGATCGAGCGGGGGATCGTGGTGGGAGCAGGAGACGTGAACGGCTTCTTCGCCTTCTCCGCAGCCTTGAGCGGCTGCATCTGGGCCGGAGTCTACGAGCTCGGACGAACGCAGCAGAGGGGGTACCGGCTGACCCGAGAGGAGCAGGAGGCGATGGATCAAGAGTGGAAGGACTTCTGCGACTTTGCTCAGGAGCAACTGGAGGTGAAGCCCAACGGGAGGGTGTACGTCGGAGACGTCATGAAGGCCTTCCGGCGATCGTACGGGAAGTACCGGACAAGCGAGCAGCTGAGCGACGAGAAGCTTAAGGGCTATTTCCGCAGGTTCGCGAGAAACACAACAGGCATGAAGGGCAAGCAAGGGTTCTACAAGGGGATCGCGTTGGTACAGAAGGCTGACGCGTTCGGCTACCCCACAGCTCAGTTCCGGTGGGCCGAGGAAGAGAAGAAGCGGAGGGACGAGGAGGTGGATACTGGCGCTGCACTCCAGACGGCTGATCGTGTTGGGCAGGTACGGAAGGCCAGGGAGGACGCGGCTGAGGCTGCGCGGATGGCTGAGGAGGCTGCAATGAGGGCACGAGAGAACGCAGACGACACCGTGGGAAAGAAGAGAGAGGATGCGGAGGAGAAGAAGAGATCGCAAGAAGTGTGAAGATCATAGGCTGAATAGAAAGAGAAGCAATAGTTTCATCTTCTGATTCCTTGACATGCTTGCAGATTGAGTAGGGCTTGTCGGATGCCTTGGATAGTGAGAGGTAGATAGAGATGGTTACATCGGAGGAGGAGAAGTTTCAGGGAGAACGCCAGCAGTCTCAGGAGGAGTTGGCCCAGGAAGGGTTTGATCCGATGGAGGGACACGAGGAGAAGATGAAGATTCGCACAGGTGCAACTTTGCTCCGTACTCCCAGGGCACCCAGCTCTTGTTCTGCTCATGAAACACGAAGCACATACCGTAGTCGCCGTCTGTCAGAGGGCTGAGAGCGAGAGCTTGCAGCTGTCTTGAGCAAGGATGGTCATGGAAGCATAGCCAGACTTCAAACAGGCCGGGCTGCAGCTGAGACCCGAGCCCTCCCGTGCAGACCTGACCGCTGATCGCAAGCGGGACAACATCCTTCCAAGTCTTCGTCTCGTGGCAGGAGGCAATCTGGAGAGTAGACTGAGTCCATCCCCAGCTGTGAGGGTCAGCAGCAGGAGTTAAAGAAGGAGGAGGAGGAGGAGTGGAAGGAGGCGGAGAGAGTGGCCCAGGGGTGGCATAAGAGCTGTAGATCTTGCCCTTTCTCGTCAGCCCGCTGCCGTCAGTCTTCACATCGCCATAGTCGTTGGCCCCTCCCACGGGGCCATCGACGAAGTTCCAGACAGCCCAGGATCGCAGCCCGAGCTCCTTGTGCCAGCCAAACCAGGTGGAAATATCGCTCTCTACGCTCCCAGTGGAGCACAGCTTGTCGCTCATGTAGCAGTTGGGCACGTCGCAGATCAGGGTGATGTTAATGGGCGAGAACTTGGAGTCTTGGAGCAGTTTCCTCACTCCGTTGGGCAGTGTGCCCTGCGTCCAAGACTCGGCAAGAACTGCAGGATCAGAGTCAGATGGCTGAGGAGGGGAGGAGGAGACTTGCCCTACCTCCATCTCCTGCTGAGAGACTGGTCGGCGTGTAGCCCCCCACGTTGAGAGCCAGGCAGTCCCCCAGACAGCTCTCCCAGAAAGGTCCATCAACATGGACGAGATGGGGGACCTGGGCTTCTTCGTGGATGAGTTGAGTCAGCGCCGTGGTGAGGTTGGCGATCTCATCCTCGCTGCAACGATCGTTGGTGCAGTAGTGTGAAGCTCCCATCCAGTACACAGAGACAGCATGGAGATGACCGAAGATCCTTGGATCTTGGAGCACCCTTCTCATGTTGGCCATGAAACTTGCTCTCGAGCTAGGGTCGTGCACAATATCAGCATCGCAATGATCGCAACCGGAGTCATCGAAGTCTGGTCGGCCAAAGAACAAGATGACCTGCGTGTTTGCGTTGTAGAAGTGCTCCACAACAGAAGCAAGTCGATCGATGCCCTTGCTTCCGACATGTAACTCACTGGCGAGATAGGTAGGGAAGTACAAGATCACTGTCAAGTATCTTGAATGGTTGAAGTTTTCCCTCAGCAGCTGCAGATCGTCGTCTCTGACTGCAAGGTACGTGTCCCACAGAGTATCATTCATCATCCATCTCTCTGACCAGGAGCTCAGCCGCGTTGGAGCGCTCCAGACTGTCCCCTCAAAGATCAAGTCGGCATGAGCAAAGCTCAAGAGCAAAGGCAGCAGAAGCATGGACCGCGACATGGCGTGTGCTGAATCAGATCAGGAGACCTGAGAGAAGGGAGATTAGTAGTGGACTTGAGGCAGTACAACAAGCATGTCGCTGTGGATTGACGAGATGTGAAAGTGTAGCCATGATAATCAAACATGTCGGTACTTACGGAGTACTTTCAGAGAAAAAATGGCAGGATGGTCATCATGAGTGACGACAAAAATGATGATGCAGGGAAGATCAAGTACAGCACGCACTGGCAAGGATGGCGGGAAGGGCTGGTTGAAGTGTGTGCTCTACAAGGAGACGCGCGCGCGTCTCAACTGTCATCTCCATGAGTCACATTGGCGATGACAATTTTTTTTTCGACCCGGAGGCCACCGGGCCCGGAGGACATGGCATACTCCGCAGCCCCGTCACTCAGAATCATCTAGCGACCTCCTCAGATTCGTGTACTGCCCTCTTCGGATGGGTCATCAACGGAAATCCGCACCCAGTTATTGTCAGCAGCTGGTAGTAAAGTCTTTACTACACAATAATGTGATACTTTACAGCTGAAGTAAAATAAAATAATCAATTCCATCCCCACCCAATCGCCTCCAACGATGCACAAGAGCCTCTCCTCCAAGTCCTTCACCATCTCCCTCCCCCCTCCTTCCTCTCTCGTCCTCCCTCCCAGACGACGCTGTCCAGCTCCTCTCGCCCCTCCTCCCGCCCCTTACCAGCCTCCCTCCCCTCCCGCCTTGCCCGAGGACGCATGTCTCAAGAGCATCCTCGAGGCTCGGAAGCGCGGTGTCACGTTCGGGGGGATGGTGAGGAGGCTGGCACGAGACGTCTCGGCTCAGGACGTGACAGAGGGGGCGGCGGGGCTGCTAGCGAGGAGGAGAGCTGAGGAGCAAGAGGTCGTCGACAGCTCTCAGGGGAGGGGGGAGGCGTTCAGATCTTGATGGCTTCTCCTTGTATGACGGGAGGGGATGATACAAACCAGCTGTAAAGCACTCAGGACAGAGCCAATCTAGGAGGAGGTGAAGAGCAGCGAGGTTGACCCGGATGGCACGGAAGCATGCGGGTGCCAGTCAGTCTCAGAGTATAGGTGGCAAGTGAGGAGATGTCGAGCATGCTCGTCGGACGATGTAACGGAAGTATGTAAGATAGTGCTAGTGTAAATCATGTGCGATAAACGAAACCTGCTGATTTCTCTTGAGATGCTGTACGTAAGCAAAAAATGATTTCACCCAATTTATCATCCATTTCTCTGACCAAAAGCTCAGCCGCGTAGAGCAAGGGCAGCACAAACATGGACCGCGACATGGCCTGAGAGATAGGAGATCAGCAGTGGACTTGACATGAGACGGTACAGAGCGTATGACTTGCGTTTATCGCAAATTCTTTAAACTAGCACTACTTTACATACTATCGTTACATCTTCCGAAAGGCATGGGAATTCCATCCTTGATGACATCTACTGCTCAGGTCGGCTCTGGCGTCATTCACCACTTCGTCAGACCCTTGGATGATGGCCCTCAAAGAGAACTGCTTTTCATAACCTCTTGCTCCTCAGCTCTCCTCCTCGCTAGCAGCCCCGCCGCCCCCTCTGTCACGTCCTGAGCCGAGACGTCTCGTGCCAGCCTCCTCACCATCCCCCCGAACGTGACACCGCGCTTCCGAGCCTCGAGGATGCTCTTGAGACATGCGTCCTCGGGCAAGCATGCGTGGCTAGGAGCTGGACAGCGTCGTCTGGGAGGGAGGACGAGAGAGGAAGGAGGGGGGAGGGAGATGGTGAAGGACTTGGAGGAGAGGCTCTTGTGCATCTTGCGAAACAAGGGGCGAGGAAAAGAAGGTCAAAACGAGGCGTGTCGTAAACACAAGGAGTCGTTGGAAGTAGTAAAGTTCGATTCCCCCATTCTGGGAACAATAATGACTGTACTGTCAACTTCCCAGGAATGAAGGCCACGAGGTCACGCCACAGGGATCGCAGGCAATAGAAAACACTCGTTTTCGTCTCCACCTCCGTCCTCCTCTCCCCGACTTCTCCACCTCAGTCAGTTTCTGTTTCACCTCCTTCTAGTCCCCCACCCATCGCCTCCCACGATGCACAGGCCCCTCTCCTCCAAGTCCTTCACCATCTCCCCCCCCCCCTCCTTCCTCTCTCGTCCTCCCTCTCAGACGACGCTGTCCAGCTCCTCTCCGCCCTTCCTCTCGCCCTCCACCAGCTTCCCTCCCTCCCGCCTTGCCCGAGGACGCATGTCTCAAGAGCATCCTCGAGGCTCGGAAGCGCGGTGTCACGGTGGGGGGGATGGTGAGGAGGCTGGCACGAGACGTCTCGGCTCAGGACGTGACAGAGGGGGCGGCGGGGCTGCTAGCAAGGAGGAGAGCTGAGGAGCAAGAGGTCGTCGATTGCTCTCAGGGAGCTTCTCCTTGTATGACGGGAGGGGATGATACGAACCAGCTGTAAAGAACCCGGTCGTCGAGGATGGAATTCTATCCATGGCTGTCGGACGATGTAACGATAGTATGTAAAGTCACTGATCAGTGCTATTGTAAATCATGTGCGATAAACGAAAATTGCGGATGCTAGTCTGAAGCGATGACCTTCATGTAACAGTGGTCGATCCAACACTTCAGCAACTGGTTGTGCGAAGACTCCGAGGCTCAGGGCAGCTATCGAGCTGCTGGGCATCTGGTACGAGGTCAAATGAATCTTTACCAGCGATTCGTAGCTCTCTCCGTCTGCGACTGCAGTTGAGCGCAGCGCGTCGTCGAGTCTCAGTTTTGTTCTACTGATTGAGGCCATCAGTCGCTAGGGAATGGTGCTATCGGAAAGATATCAAGCTCCTCTATCAAGCCGACGGGTCGGATGATGGTGCAGATGACTCGGATGATTTCAAGTTGCTTGTCGTGATGGTCAAGTTTCAACAAGTTACAACAAGTTTCAAGTTTTCAACTTTCATTATTGAGTAATATTTGAATGATCACCCTACCCACTTGCAACCACTGCACCCTACCTGTGTCGTGGGGTACATGGTGGAATACTGAACCACGGGTAGAATGATTGGCTAGAGTCTTTGGATATAGAAACTGGGGTGAGTGGACAAAGGGATAGGGTAGTGGTCCAAGGAGGTACTGGGGTGGGGTGGTCTTTCAAATTCCCACCATGCAAGGGCAGCAGTATCAGCGGCATGGGATGATGTTGTTAGAGCAAGAGGGAGAGAGGGCGCGATGAAGTGAAGGATAAAATGGAAACAGAGATGATGAGAAGAAGATGGTTATTCACAAGTATTCTACAGATGCTGTGTCGGGATGGAGAGAAAATTTGATGGAGGAATGGCCATGACAAGATTCTTTTGGGTGTGATCGATGTGAACCTGGTGGCATACGTCAAATTTTAGAGCCAGCATGATTTTGTAAAGATTATCACCTTCCATCATGTTAAATTTGTTAGGGATTTTGAGCGTGGGAGCAGGGAGGGGATTCTGCAGCGAGTTGTAGTCAAATCGAATACTAATCTTTTGTCCAGGATTTCGGATCCACGCTCTCAGATTTGTCCTTGAACCTTGAAGCCTCTGAAACCTGCGCATCTGAGATGTGGTTCCACAGTACCTGACAGTACCGCCAGAAGGAGCTGAGAGCAGAAAAAACAGATTCAAGCATGACGGCGGTGGGTGCGAGGTTGAGAAGCAAACACAGCATTTGGGCGTGTGTTCTGCTTTTCGTCTCTCTCTGTGTTGAGGTGGTCACGGTGGTGACGAGACAAGGGAGACTGAACATGATCAACTCGGCTCAAGCGTCGTTGGAAGAGGAGCCTCTACTGAATTTGGATGAACTGAATCGAAGGAGTAATGTGCGAAGACTGCGCTCGAATGCAGTGGACAAGGGAGAGGGCGGAGAGGCCGTCCATCGCTCTGGCTCGAAGCGAAAACAGAGGCAGACAGCGACTTGCACAGGAGCTCAACAGGACGATGCTCATTCTTTGCCTCAGAAGTCGCGTGTGACTTCAGAAACTGAGCAGCACGAGCTAAGATCGATCACGGCAGACGCTTCTTGTGGGGACAAGAGGCAGGCTCCCTCCAGGTCGACGATGGATGCCATGGCGGGAAAGATCAGCCACCCAACGAGCCTCAAGGCATCTGAGAATCGACTGGAGAGTTTCTTGAACAGTATGAAGAACGAGAGCAGCCGTGACTCGTCGAAGTCTTCCGCCCCCTTCACGTTGATCGCTCCTCCAGTCCCGCCAGCCATGATGGGAGTCAGCCGGCAGCAAGTCAGTGGCAGGGAAGCCCTGGCGGCTGCGGATAACAGGCAGGAGAAAGACCAGATGGGAGGAGGGAAAGAAGCAGCTACTCGCCTGCCGGAGAGGACGAGGGCGAGGAGGGAGGGGGAGGTACCCAGAGCTCAGCCCTCGGACGCGGCAAGCTACAGCCTCCGATCTCGGAAAGGCCAGGAAGGAGCTGAGGGACAGGAGCGGCACGAGCAAGCGGACAGGACGAAGCCTTCCAAGAGGGTCGACGAGTCCCCCGTCACTTCGGAATCCAACGAGGGCGGCGACTCTCAGGTCGAGCGCATCCAAGTCTGCGTGAGGAAGCGGCCGGTGAACACGCGGGAGCAGCAGTCGAGCCTCAAGGACGTGGTTCGAGTCCCAGCGGGAGGGAAGGGGAAGGAGCTGATGGTTCTGGAGTACAAGAAGCGGCTGGACTTGTCTGAGTACGTCGAGCAGCATGACTTTGCATTCGATGAGGTGCTATCGGACAGCTGCAGCAACGATGAGGTCTACGAGCGGACGACCAAGTCACTTGTGCGGTACGTGTTCAACAACAAAGGGAAGGCCACGGTGTTTGCGTACGGGCAGACCGGGGCAGGGAAGACCTACACCATGATGGGGGGGAAGGGGCAGAAGGGACTCTACCTGCTTGCTGCTCAAGACATATTCTCGCTGCTGGAGGAGAAGGGGAGGGAGAGCGAGGGGCTCGGGGTGACTGTGAGCTTCTTCGAGATCTACGGGGGGAAGCTCTTCGACCTGCTCGCCGAGAGGAAGCCTTGCGTGAAGCGAGAGGACGGGAACAACAACGTGTTCATCCGGGGACTGTCGGAACACGTGATAGGGAGTGCTGAAGACCTGATGCATGCGATCCAGCGGGGCCACCAGGCGCGGTCGACGGCAGCGACGGAGGCGAACATCGACAGCTCGCGTTCGCACGCGATCCTCCAAGTGTGCCTGAGGAAGATGGAGGGGAAGGGGCAGGTAGTGGGCAAGCTCTCTTTCATCGACCTGGCGGGAAGCGAGCGGGCAGGGGACACCGGGAGGAACGGGAACATCACGAGGAGGCTGGAGGCAGCAGAGATCAACAAGAGCCTTCTGGCACTCAAGGAGTGTATCCGAGCACTGGCAGAGGAGGCAAAGCACATCCCCTTCAGGGGGAGCGTGCTGACGTCTGTGCTTAAAGACAGTTTCATCGGCAACTGCCGGACTGTCATGATCGCCAACGTGGCCCCGACGCAGGAGACGTGCGAGCACACGATGAACACGCTGAGGTACGCGGACAGAGTGAAGCAGATTAAGAGGAACGCCTCCTCCTGCGTGTTCGAGGAGGAGGCGGCGGCCCAGGACGACTGGGCGAGCATGATGGACAGCAGGAGGAGCATCAGGTCGTCCTCCATGGCCGAGAGGGCGACGACGGTGGTCACGGCCATGGCGGCATGCCGGAGCGCGAGGGGGTCGAGGACGAGGGGCAAGCTGACGACGAGCCCCGAGGAGGAACAGGGGAAGCACGAGGAGGACTTGATACAACAACTTGCTTCCCTGCACAGACGTCACATCCAAGACACTTCCGCCCTGCTGCAGAAGGAGCGAGAGATCCTGGCGCGGGTGGAGCGGAACGGGCCGTCGGCTTCGTCGTACCTGAGTGGCCTTGGGAAGCTGCTGCAGCACAAGTCCGGGATGGTTTCACGGATGCTGGAGATGCTCTCGAATAGTTGCAAGTAGAGGAGGAGGAAGGGGAGGGGGGAGGGGGGATGGTATGTACATAGTAGGTCTATGCTGGTTAATAGAAGGCGCTAGAGACGTTGAACGCCATAGCTGTCCATGCACCCTGTCGACCGTGTGAGAGAGGAGGAGAGTGGAGAACAAGAGGAGACGGAAGGGCGAGGAGGAGGAGCCGGGGATGGTACCGTGAGATCTTGCTGTCAGAGCAGCTGCATGGGGCTGGACGACGGTCTGCTCGCAGAAGGAGGAGGGGTCGTCGACCTCATAGCGGAAGAGAGATCCGTACTGAGAGGACGAGCATGAGAAACGAGATAGCGAGCAGAGAGGAGGGGGGAGGGGGGGGGGCGGAGAGCGCAGAGGGGAGAAGGGGGGGGAAGGGGAAAGAAAGGAGAAACCGGAGGAGAGCGGATGGGAGGAAGGGGAGGGGGAGGGGAAAGAGGAGGAGGGGGGTAA